GGGGCATAACTCTACCTCCCCTCCATGGACCTCTTACTGTTTCAGACCATACAGAATCTTTAGTAATGCTTAATATCAATTTTAATCACACAATAATAGTATATGCTTGTAAATTGCTTATATGTAATATTTAGGATGATCTCTATACAAACAAAACTGTTTTTGTAAAATCTTTCTACATTGAATTACAATGAGCAGAAACCTTTTTTGTTGTTGTTTTATCCTTTAATTACTAATTCATTCTTTAAAAAGGTGTTTGGTATAAATTCACAATATTACGTGCCACAACACTTTAGCTAAAACACTAGAAAACTGAACATCACCAACAAGTGACTATAAAACACTGGCAGCAATGGAAACAGCAAGGTGTGCTTATGATGTGAAGTGTCGTTGTCACTGGGTGATGTCCTCAGCTCTGGCTGGAGTACATTAGAACATTTAAAAAGTCAATCAGCATTGGAGTTTTAGCTTTGCAGTATATTATTGTAAGCTAAGCTTATTTTAAAAATTGGTTTTGTTGTGGTAACTGAAAGGGAAAAAACAACCTCGCGTGGCTCATCAACCACACCGCACACCAGATGGCCCGTCTATAGAGACTTTTATTCAGGGTAAGGAAGAGGAAGGTGGCCTCTGCCAGAGAGAGCGGGCAGGAGGCAGAAGAGAAGAGAAGACAGGGCAGAAAGAAGAGGAAGTCAACGGGAAGGGAGTGGTCTTATATAGGTTCAACAGGAAGGGAGTGGTCTTACATAGGTTCAACAGGAAGGGAGTGGTCATTGCCTATCAAAAGCCATGTTGCCTTTTAAACTACAAGCCTTGTAGCTTAGGGCGGGGAAACAGTGATCTCTTTATAAGAAAAAATTTTGTTGGAACACGGCATAAAAATTTTTATAGACAGTCATTTCGGTATCACCCTCTCTGACAATGTCTCCTGTCCCCAACCCCTGGAGCTCATGTCAATTCAGCCCATGTGACACAAATCTTTTCCCAAGCAACCTGAATGTAAGCTCTTCCTTTGGACGCCTGGGCTCAGCTCTAGTCTGTAACTGTAACAGAACAAGATGTCGGGAGGGGACCAAAGGCAGGACAGCCGGTGAGATGAAGCCCTACATTGCAGTACTGGGCGGTTAAGTCCAACACCTACTGCAGTGTCAGGCGCATGGCGCATGGCTGGCGCTCTGTAAATACTTGTTAGATAGGTTCGATAAAATAGAAAACGTCTTAAGCCGAGATAAAAAAGAGACCCGGTGGTACTGTGTGTGTGGGAACACGTAGTCTGGGGCCCAGGGGACATTTAAACCCATGAAGCTAGAGCAACAGATTATGAGTCTGTCTTTGGGGAACAGCTAAAAAAGGCAAACACCTTAACAACCCAACTAAACAACTCCATCAAGTTTAAAGAGTTTCTCCTTAAAATTCTAGTACCATACAACAAAACATTGGAAACTTGAAGTAAGTTTTGGCTTATTTTTGTGTGCGTGTGTTCTTTGACTTGCCACAGACCCCTAATTTTACCTCAATGAAAAGGTCAATTTTGTGATTCTATACTTTACATTTGCATTTCCATCATGACTTGTATAGAACCGTCTATAGGGTTCCTAGTGTGTCCAAGTTAAGAAACATGGAATCAGCAAAACAGTGGCAATAAGAACACAAGAAAAATCTTGTTGAGAAAAGAAAGGATTTTATTGGGCAAAGTGGCATACATTTTTATACACTACAAGCAGACAACTTTTTACATAAAGAAAACTTTTGTTTAATCTAACAGATTAGCCAACACTTACTACCAGTTAAAAAGAAAAAAGAAAAAAAAACAGCCAAGTATCTGCTTAGAGTTGGTGACAACACCTTCTGAAATTGTCACACTTAAATCACGCAAACTTTTTCAAACAGAAGCTTTGGGGCTGGAAAGTTGCCCAGAATTCTGCACATGTAAGTTTAGGAGGATTTAAGATTGCTTTCTTTATGTGCTTCAAGAAAAAGTCACTCTAACTTAGGTTTTTAACTTAAATTGATTAACTGTATTTATGCTGCAGACAACACTAATTTCTATCTATAATTTAAAAAACAAATTTAAACCACCACCATTTTATGAAGCAACTAGATTTAGAAGCTTGAGGAGAGCAGGAGCAGGAAGTTCCTTCAGTGGTCAGAGCGGTCAAGAGCCTGAAAATAGACCCCATGCCTAAAGGCTAAAGGAAAGAATGATCCAGTGAAGGACAGGAAGAAAGGAACTGATGACACTGGTGTTGACAGGAAATGAAAGCTGGTGCCCGAGGAACAGCAAACCACGGAGCCTTATTATGTGATGAGATAGAGGAAGACAGAATGAAAGAGCTGGACGTGTTTTGTTATGAAATATCTGAAACCTACATAGAAGTGTAGGGGATCATCTAACGGGCATATACAAGGGGTGAACTTGAGTCAGAGTTAACTCCACAGCAGCTGGTTAACAGGTGGAGGCAGAGGTAGCCACCAACTACATTTCCCCAGTATTGACAAAGAGCTAGGTTTCCATCAGAACCTTTAAGTAAGAAAAAGTTACATATACAATCAAAGTCTCTATATACTCCTTTTCTCCACAAACTTGTTTAAGAATCTTTTCCAGAAAACCTATTTCTCTTGTGGGTGGAGGAGCTTAGAGGGACAACAAAACAAAACAAAACAAAACAAAACAAAAAAACAACTTCCCTAATGGAAGAGTGTAAAGCAAGGGAAATGCAAGCACAAAGGGAATTCATGAAAAGAAAAAGTAGACAGAGAAGGTTCCGATGAGCAAAAACACAAGATGCTGTCCTCTCCTGTCATGCCTTCGCTATTTCCTTTCTCATACGTGTGTCTTCAAGAGAGACTGTTTCTGAAAGAGAAAGATCAACCATCACTATTGCCTTATGTGAAAACTCAAATCGCCGTGGCCCTTAATCTCCTTTTGAGAACAAGTGAACCAAATATTCACTTTTAACTGAAATTATGCACTTAAGTCAGACCTTTTGGTTCATGAACCAGCACCATAGCAGTGCTACAAGTTACAGCTGTTTGCCCTCCCCTTCAATTTAAAATACGCTTGCTATTAACATGTGTGATTACACTATCACTTCGGAGGAGCAGACTACAGAAGGCTTTGTGTTCTCATCACAACACCCCCATTTTAGCAATTTTGCAATTAAACGATGAACAAAAAGGAAAACAAATTTCTGCTGTGATGACCTGACAACATCAGTTCATTTTAAATACATTACTTCTAACTCTCAGAAGAATCCGCCAATGGAGAAAGCCAATATTCCACTGTCTTTTCTCCACAATAATCCCTCATGCCGAAGTGACCAGGTACGTGCCTCTTCCTATTCCTACAGCTCCTGGGGTTACTTGCTTTACAGAACTGCTCTCATCCAGAAAGATACAACAGGACTGCAGACAGGCAGGGGCAGGAGAAGCTGTCCAGAGAATTCGGTCTGAGTCCTACGGTAAGACTTAGTCTCCAGTTTGTGTGTGACTAAGGGCAGATATGTAACCTCTCTGAGCTTCTGCTTCTTCATCTATAACATAGGTTTACTTACATTCCAAGATCACCTATGCAATTAGAAGTGAAAGCACTTTGTAACTTGGGTACTGTATTGTAAGAAAATACAGATGAAATGGGTATTTATCTCACAGTAGAGGAAGCTGGTTCAGCTGCTGCCTTCAAATCAGGTTTTTTGTTTTTATTTCTTTTCAAGCAACTAAATAAGACTTGACTTTCAATCTACTTAGAAATGATAACTAAATGCATATATATCTCATCTGAAGTTGTGTGTTAGCACTACGAATATCCAAAGGCATATTACACAGAGAAAAAGATAAAGACACATCCAACATTTAACATTCTTAGTTTTAAACATATGATGATTTGGTGCTAGGACTTAATCTCAGAAGTTCTTGCCATGATATCCTTTATCTATGAAGTTAAAATGTCCAATCAATGTAAGATTTTAAACACAAGTACACACACACACACACAAAAAAAAAAAAAAAAACAAAAAAAAAACAGCAGTCAATGTTACAACTTAACAATGTATTAGAGTTCCAGACAACTGAAGGACTGCAGCTGTGAATTGGCATTTATTGAAAACAAGCCAAAAATTGTATAGGATAGAAACCATGAGACTCAGCACTGTTATCTTGCATTAAAGATGTCTGGTTTAGAAGGCTCCACTGTACTTGCATGAAAACAAACACACAACAGGAGATTACCAAATGGGGTCTATATGTGGACACACTAGGTCCCCACTGGGGGCAGCCTCACAAGATGACCAATACAACTACTTAAACAACTTTCAAACAGTCAAACGTAAATGCAACTTTAGCCAATAAGGGTGCCTATATTAAATAAATCAAAGTGCTTTGCTTTTGGTAAAAATGTTTAACTCCCAAGTGTTGTTATCACTTCCTTTGGGCCAGAGTTTTAAACGGCGATGATCATGAAGTAATTTCTATAGGCCATCTTAGGTAAAGCATCCCGCATTGGTTGAAAGCCCACTAAGATAGTCTTTAAACATTAGAATCACTGCAGTCAAAAGACGGGAGCATGTTTTGTTTAGAAATTAAATAATACCGGCAGTACAGCCCACTTCCCCATTCTTTGTCCCATTCAAATAGTGCTTTCACAAATAGTGCTAAACATTTTTATAGGAATGTGAACTTCTGAGAGCTCATTTCAAATATAGACACAAGGAACTGAGATAAAGCTTGACTTGAAACTATTTTTACAAAATCAACAACAGGCGCATTCTCCAAAGCAGACCACAAGTAAGAGTTGTGGCAGCTGGAGCAGCCTGGGGACTCAGTTTCATGAGCCGTAATAAATGGAACCCAGGAAGACAGCAACAAACATTACAACGGATCATTAGGACACCAAGTAAGGCAGAGCATCCCTGGTGTTTCACTCAACTAGGTCTATCCAGACCATCTGACGGAACATGGGGCCACTGGTGGTGAAAGGAGTGGCAAAAACATTGAAAGTGAACTTAACTTTTTAACAGTTTTCTCATTTGAATAAATTTATTTTCACTGGTTGAACTGTTTAAGAGAAAGAGAAGAATCTGTTCATGTTTCTCAACCTGGGGGGTGAAAGACAAAACAAAACCAACATTAGTTAGTTTCTAAAATGCTGATAAGGAGTACAGTTTCACTGAATGTAAAATTGTACTCACTTGTTTCTGTAACTCGGTACAGCAGCAATCTGTCTTGCACATCTTCTCTAAAAAGGAAGAGAAAATGCCATTGGATCACGTAGAAACAATGAACTTAAGAAACAATTAACATAAACTTGGGAGTGTGAACACAGAGGTTTGGCCCTCAGGCATGGGTTCCAATTACAATGGACTTTTCCTTTGGGCTCTGAATTTATCTACCTACCCAACCCAACCCACTGCCACTGAGTCAGTTTGGACTCACAGCAACCCACTAGTGGGGGTAGGGGGTGGGGTCTGAAACGACAAATCTTTAAGGGAACGGGAGTTGATGGGCTCATCTTTCTCCCACAGAGCAACTGGTGGATTTGAACAGCTAACTTCTCAGTTAGTGGTCCAACACTTATCCCACAGCACTCTCAGGGCTCCTTTATTGACCTACAGCAACCCAGATTTACTAAATGAATGCCCTCATACCCAAGGTCTTTTGCCTTTCATATATGGGAAATTTCCTGTTGGTTAAGAGTAGGTTTGCTGCTCCCTCCTCCCCGCAAAATCTTATGAAATGCCAGTAAAACCCAATCTCAAAAACAGGATTTCTTTTCACTTTGACCAGACTCAAAGGCAAGTGGGAAGTAAGGTGTATACAGAATGCCTGGCATTCCGACAATGTCCCATACTTCGGTCACAAAGACAACACTGCTTAGGCCTGACTGAGGAAGGAGCACCCACCCAGGCAAATCCTGAGGGGGCAGCAGGAATCAGCACTGCCTGGCCCTTTCTAAAGGCAAGGGAGAAGGGGGCATGACCACAGGGAGTAAAGAAAGACCTGACCAGTGCAACTAAACTCAAAATGCTATCAGTTATGAATTAAAGTTGAAGAAGATATCTTTATTAAAAGTACCTTGCTGCTTCGATGTGATGTTTTTTGCCAGACCGTGCACCAGCTTATCAGCTATGTTAACAGGACCATTCTCTGAACATTTCTCAACAGACACTGTATGGACATTCTTATTAATTCCTTTGATAGAAATCATGACATTCTGATTCAACATAAAATTTTTTAACAGCTCTATTATTAACCTAGAACAGCTGCCATTCAATTCCATCAGTCCTAGGGAAAAAAAGTAAAGATAATCATTAATCTTCAAATCCCTTTAAAATAAGATGGTATTTTTGTATCAATTATATGGCACTGAACGACAATACCAAGTATAAAGGAGTCACTGGGTGATGTGAACAGAAAGGTGGGTGCTTTGAGTCCACCCAGGGCACACTAGAAGAAAAGTCTAGGGATCTACTGCAGAAAAACCAGCTGTTGAAACACTAAGGAGCAAGGTTTACTCGGACACACATGGGTTTGCCAAGAGCCAAGAGCCAAGAGCTGGCTCGAGGGCATATGGTTGTGGCTTGTAACTTCTAGAGCAGAGATCCTCCCAGGCCTGAGGTCAGGTGATGCAGTTTACAGCCAGGCCCTGCCACTTACTAGTTTTGTAACCTGGGGCAAAACATGATGTTAATTTTAAAACTATTATTTAATGATCCAGGACCACAGTCTCATGAGACAGCATGGTCAAGTGGCATAACCTAGTCGACAAAGACACTGTTTTACATCCTACTTCGGTGAGTAATGACTGGGATCTTAAAAGCTCATGAGTGACCATCTAAGATGCAACTATTGGTCTTTCCCTGTCTGGAGGAAAGAAAACTGATGAAAAGTGAAGATGCTTATGAATAATTAATCCACTGGCTTGAAAGACCAAGGGAACATCAATCTCCCTGATCCTGAGACCAGAACTAGATGATGCCCAGGCTAGTGTTCTGAAAAGGATCACACTGGAAGGTCCTGGGAAGAGTGGGAGTAAATGTGGAGCAAAAACTCAAAATCATAAAAAGGGCCTGGCTTACTGGTCAGAGACAGACTGAAGGAACCCAAGACTATGGAGACTTGACCACACTTCAGGTTTGGAACTGAACTCACCATGTGGCTCAATTTTTAGACAAGCAATAGGTAGGCAGGTATGCAGAGTGGGCAACACTAGTGAGGTATGCACACCACAGAAAGATACACCATCTGAGGTCAAATGGCAGCATTCACCCACGGACAAAGATCGGAAGGGTTGGGAAAGGAGAAAGAATGGAAAGAAGAAATACGGGGAGGCAGTGGGATACGTGATGTTACATTAAGGAAAACTACAATCACACAGATGACACGTGTCTGACTTGTTGAATGTATAACTACAATCACACAGATGGCATGTGTCTGACTTGTTGAATGTATAACTACAATCACACAGATGGCATGTGTCTGACTTGTTGAGTGTACAACTACAATCACACAGATGGCATGTGTCTGACTTGTTGAATGTACAACTACAATCACACAGATGGCATTGTGTCTGACTTGTTGAATGTACAACTACAATCACACAGATGACATGTATCTGACTTGTTGAATGTACAACTACAATCACACAGATGACACGTCTGACTTGTTGAATGTACAACTACAATAACACAGATGACACGTGTCTGACTTGATGAATGTACAACTACAATCACACAGATGACACGTGTCTGACTTGTTCAATGTACAACTACAATCACACAGATGACACGTGTCTGACTTGTTGAATGTATAACTACAATCACACAGATGACACGTGTCTGACTTGTTGAATGTACAACTACAATCACACAGATGACACGTGTCTGACTTGTTGAATGTATAACTACAATCACACAGATGACATGTGTCTGACTTGTTGAATGTACAACTACAATCACACAGATGACATGTGTCTGACATGTTGAATGTATAACTGATGATCTGCTCTGCAAACACTCAATTCACAATAAAAGGCTTAAAAAAAAAAAGATTCTAAAGAGCCCCACGTCATCAAGTCCTACACCGACTCACACTGACCCTACCGATTGGAGGCAAAAAACTATTCCGAACGGTTTCTGGGATTTGTAATCTTTACAAGAGCAGATAGTCCCAACTCTCTCCCTAGCAGCAGCTGGTGGGTTTGAACCATGGATCTTGTGGTTAACATTGCCAAAATTAACTCACTACACTACCCGAGCTCCTAAAACTAACAGAAAGAGTTTTTGCGAGAATTCAAGATAAAATATGTGACATATGCCTGTTCCCAGTATTTAGAAACAAGCAGTTACTTAAAATACCCATTCAATTCAGATATTTAGCTTTAAAACAAGAGAGCAAAAATCCCCACAGAAATCCAAATTACAAGTGATGTTAACAATCTACCTTCGAGTGAGCATTTAATAATCTGGAAAGGAAGCTCCAGGAGGCTGGCGGTGATTGGCCGTATTCTGCAAAGAGGCAGAGTTTCCATATTTCCATAGTCCGCATACAGCACTTTCACCTGCGCATCGTCCAATGTCCCCAGAACAATGGCCCGGTACCAGAGATCATCACCTGAAAACACGATGGAACTCAGGTAAGAAGGTACAACCAATGACCTTTCTTCTCTGTAAGTGATCATTCACAACGACATTTAATCACTTAGAATTTTATGGCAGAATTTCTCACTAAAGAGTCCAGAATAAATATAAGCATTCACTACCTCTACAACCTCTCAACTCCTACCAAAAAACAATCAACTAAATAAACAACACTGGTTGTTAGATGCCATGGAGTTGGTTCCATTCATAGTGACCTCATACACAACATAACACTAATGTTACAATTGCTGCTAAATTTAAACCCACTGTGGCAATCCATTCTGTTAATGGGATTCCTAAAACCACAAGAAAAGATCATCTAACTTTGGAAGCCGGAATGGCCATGATGGAGCTGAACCCAGGCTGCGGCAGGGAGGAAGCCCAGAAGTATCCCTCCTTGTTCCTCAAAATCCCGATTCCCAAGGCTCAGCAACTGACATCACTTATTCAGAAATCGGAGTAGAGTTGGAACTGTAAATGAGGGCAGGGTAAATGACACAGTTAGTTCTCAAGACATCTATATGGACCTTTCAGTTTATGAAGGCATTGAAGTTGCTAAAGGGCATGATCGGAATCCTGGGGTGGTGCTGTGGGTTTATGCACTGGACTGCAAAGTTGTTTGACCTGCAAGGCCAGTGGTTCAAGTTCACCAGCCGCTCCTTTAAAACCTTACACAGGGTTGTTATGGGTGGAACCGACTCAACAGCACATATAACAACAACAACAAAGGACATGATCAGGAAGGAGACAACCACCCGCAACTGAAGGCACCTCAACATACCATCATCAAGAGCCCCAAATTAATGGCCAAGACAGAGTACCCTTCAGAAGTGCGGGTCACCAGTATCCAAGCCCTGCCCAAGCACTGAGAAATTTCCAGTGAACTTCTTTAGCAGCCCAGCTTACAAAGGATAATCAGGTGTTTGAAGAAAACCTCTAATACGAAAGAAGAAAACAAAGCAAGGAACTCAAGGGAAACTCAACCAAGGAGGAAGGCGACAATAATAATGTAAAAGTGGTATGAATATCCTCAAAGGATGCTATTCCATCCTTGAAACAAGAACATGGTGGTATTAACAGGAAACAACAACAAAAAAGCACTGATACCAGAAGCGTGCTATCAGCCACCAAAAACTCAGTACGAGAAGTTGGAAGAGAAAATTGAGGAAATCTATTTAAAGACAAACCAACAAAGGACGACATAGAAAAGTGGAAATTTAGCAGAAGAGTTTGAGTCTAACATTAGAATACCTGGAGTCTCTAAAGTAGTGGGTAAAGTGAAAGAAAGCAATAAAAGAAGTCCAGTAACATTTCTCAGAATGGAATGAAGGAAGCTCATGAATTTCTAAGCTGAAATGTCCACTCAGAGTTCCCAGCACAATGGTGGAAAGAAACCAACAGCAAGTTACATCAGACATTTAAAAACACAGGGGATGAGGAGACTGACAATTCAAGAAAAAAAAATGATAGAAAGATTTCAGAAGCTGAACGATGTCTATCTTTTGACCAGCTAAATGACAAAAAAGCAACACCTTCAAATTTTTAAGACGAGCTCCTCCCAAGAATTCTAAATTCAGTCAAGCTATTTCAGTAACTACCAGGATAGACCAGGAGCCCTGGTATAGCGCTGTAGAATCAGCACTGGACTGTTAACTGCAAGGTACGCAGTTCAAACCCACCAACAGCTCTCAGAAACCCCATAAAGGGTGGCTATGAAGTGGAACCAAAGCACACAAACAAATGACTTTTCAAACATGGGCAGTAACAAGAAATTTCTCTTACAAGCACTTTTCCCAGGAAGCTTCTGGAAGTGGTGCCACCCAAATGCCGGATGAAATAAAAAGGGAAGCAGGGGATTTAGAAAAATAGGTGAGGTAGGTAGGGAGAAATTGAGCCATCAAATTGGAGCAGGAGCGAGATCCAAGAAACAAAGACAGCTCAGGTCTGGAGGACAGTCTACACAGAAGAAATCAGAAAACTGAAAATGCTTCCAAAATGATAAAGACGGATATCGACTGTGATGTGTTACAGTAAACTGTGGGAGTTAATAGAAACAAAGAAAACTAGAGGAGTCCTGGTGTGGCGCTGTGGGCTAATGCACCGGACTGCAAAGTCGTTTCAACTGCAAGGTCAGTGGTTCAAGCTCACCTGTTGACCCTATACAGGGTCGCTATGGGTTAGAACTGACTTGATGGCACTTAACAAGCGAAACTGTGTGTCTAATTGCCGTATCAAAGGAAAAAAAAATTAACTGTAAAATTAAACTTATAAATTTAACTATAAAATTAAACTTACAAATAAAATAATGAAGATATTATTTGAGCTACAGACTGAAAGCATGTTAACCTCCATTGTTGACAAGGAACAATAAAACCAGACTGCTTGGCAGCTCCTAGCAGATATGGGCATTTCTTTAAAACGTACAGAGAGCAATCTGCTTCCAAAACTTAAGAAAACAACGTTTCTCCTAAGACTTGGAAATTCCATTCCTGAAAATTCACCCTAATATATTTGCAGTCAGTGAATACAATTTCTGCCCAAAAATTTGCAATTCAATTGTTTATATTAGCAAAAGAAATTTGTTAGCATATTAACCATAGGAGAATGGCTAAAGTATACGCAGGCTACAGCCCCGCCTTCAGTATGGATTCTTTTGTTGGGTTCTGATTCACAGTGATCCTGTGCACAATGGAACAAACACTGCCTGGTCCTGTACCATCCTTACAACTGTTATATCTGATCCCATCACTGCCACCACTGCATCACAATCCATCTCACTGGGGATCTGCCTCTGTCGCTGACCCTTCACTTTATCAGGTATAAAGTACTTCTCGAGGAACTTGTTCCTCCTGATAACATGTCTGAAGTATGACAGTCCCCAACACCACAACTTCAGATGTGTAGACTCATTTATGGTCTTTCTTATTCACTGTCCAACTTTCACATTCCTATGAGGCAACTGAAAATACCATGGCTTGGGTCAGGCACACCTTAGTCCTCAAACTGATGTTGAAGTACGGATTATACTTCAAAGAAAACAAAAATCCTCACAACTGGACCAAGAAGCAACATCATCATAAACAGGAGAAAACACTGTCAAGGATTTCATTTTACATCAATTAGTGCTCATAGAAGCAGCAGTCAAGAAATCAAAAGACACACCGCAGTGGGCAAATCTGCTACAAAAGTACTAAAAACCAAAGATGTTATTTTGAGCACCAAGGTGCACCTGATTCAAGCCATGGTATTTTCATTAGGTTCATATGCACAGGAAAACTGGACAATAAGTAAGTAGGACCAAAGAACAGATGCCTTAGCATTCTGGTGTTCGTGAAGAACATTAAATACACCATGGGCTGCTAGACAAGCCAACAAATCTACCTTGAAAGAAGTACAACCAGATGCTCCTTAGAAGCGAGGAGGGTGAGACTTGGTCTCATGTACTTTGGACATGTTGTCAGGAAGGGCCAGTTCTGGGAAGGAACATCACGCTTGGTCATGTGAAGGGTCAGTGAAATGACACAGTGGCTCAAACGTGGCAACAGTTGTGAGGATGGAGCAGGGCCTGGTAATGCTTTCTCTTTTGTTCTCCTTTCTCTTGTGACTCTGAACCAACCACCACCACCACCTCTCCCTACTCCAACAAGGCTGGCTCCCTGAGGCATTTCTGTCTCTTTTTAGTACGTGCTCACACAGAGCTCTATAAATTACCTGCAATCACCCCATATTTAAATACAACGCTACTGACCCACCATCACAGAACATGGGAATCCAGAGCAGGTTATCTAAGAACACTGTCAGATTTCCAAGTGCAGGAAGCTTTCTATATTTCCTTGCCTAAATATAATGCACTGCTTAGGAACAAGGAAAAGCCCATGGTCCCAACACGTAAACACATGAACCCCAACTTGACCTTTAATTTCCCAATTAATCAAATAAAACTTGCATCTCAAAGAAAGTCTACATAATCCCATGTGAAAGAGAAGAGGCAAAAGACCCTTACTTGTGTATTTGGCACAGCACGCATCTCCAGTTCTTGGACTATAGGCTGGTGGGCTTCTCTGAGCATTGCAATATTCTAACAATTCAACTGTCATCATACAGAGTTTTTCCTGATCTTCTAAAATACACAAAAACACAATCTTTTCTGAAGAACTTCCCAATGATATTTTATTGATAATGGCATACAAAAGAATGTTCTGCCTGTACAGTCACTTATTAGAATATTCATTTAATTTAAAAAAACACATATCCTGCTGCTGCCTATCTTTGGTGGAAACAGTGCAACACGAGGAGGAGCAGAAGGGAAGCGTCCGGTGCATGCTTTCTCATCAGGGTACATACAAAAGTGCCTCCACTCAGTGACAGCTTGTTACGCTGCATTCTTACAGTTTTGTGCACATTTCAGTAAATGTCGTATTTCAAGAAATAAAGCAAAGTTATCCTCAATTGTACCTCCAGTTCATCATTTCATAATAATCCTAAACTAAACCCACTACAATGCAAATTAAAGATGATTATTTATAATGTTGAAGATCAGTTTAAGAGCAGTTATTCACATCACCATAATCCTAATATTACCATTTGAAACAAATTTTCATTTTCAGCCTTAAATCACCTATATCCTGTTTAAAGTAAGACACCATCCAACTCACATTAACCCATCTGATTCTACAAGGATAAACTCAAATACATCCAAGTCTCCCACGAAGCAAAAAAGAAAAACTGAAAGTTAATTTGGGAATGCTATTTTCCTTCACAGCTAGAACTGTGGTAAAGCTAGGATTATAGTCTAAAACTGTTTGGGTTCAAATTCTCTTAAATGATTGTAGACGGTTGGCTTGCAAAAACGCATTCCAATGTTTTTAAGCAAGAACTTGTCCCACAATTGTGATAAAAGGATGAGGCTGACTGAGATGGAGGCAGAGACAATGATGTGGAGCAATGGAGCAGCTGGGGGCTTTAGATCCAGAGAGGGAGAGCGACTGTGTGCTGAAGATTGTGTGGGGGGATAGTGTAGGGGGCAGACTTGCAGGGTATACCCATGGGTTGGTTAATGATGCATGTAGGGGATTGTAACCATGGCAATGATACGATGTATGATAGAATGAAAGTCAAACTAATGTTCTCCCATGTAAACTATCATATAATTTATAATAAAACACTAAAAAAAAAAAAAAAAAAAAAAGGATGAGGCTGAGCCTGTGTACGGGACCTTCCCTGTTTTTACAATAAAATCTGTCTCCGGCGTTACTGTGAGAGCAGTTCTCCCTTAAACGGACTGAAACAAACTCCATCTCTCTCCTCTTCTCACCCATGCTTCTCTAGGTCGTCAAGGGAAGCACGTTCACTATACAGTCCAAGATGACAAACAAAAATGTCTCTCAAACTTGTTTCTTACCTGGCATCTCATTCGGTAAAGCATAAAACAAGTTTGGGCTGATGATTTCCAGGATGTTTGCTTGTACCACTTTATTAACTGCCAACTCTATCGTCTTCCACTGCCCTGCTACAGAGGTGTCTGGGAACACACAGAACACAGGTCTCATAAGGAGCACATAGTATTCACTCTTCTTTCACAGTTTTATATTTATTTAAGCAATCACTTGTTACCAGCTACTGTTTTTCAACATGGTGTTGTTGTTGTTAAGCGCCGTTGAGTTGGTTCTAACTCATGGTGATCCTGTACAGCATTTCCAAGGAGCAACTGGTGGGTTTGAACCGCTGACCTTCTGGTTAGCAGTCCAGTGCTTACCCCACAGCACCACACAAGGCACTGATGTGTAGCCATTCCCAGAATCAAAGTTTGTGTTTTCACAGGCTAATCTACTCTACTTGGGGGATTTTCTGGGAGCTCCAAATCAGTTCTATGTGTAATAAGACCCCTTGGATGACACTCACTCCTTAACACATATCCAGTCTTTAAGGAACGCATACTTATCTGCTGTAAGTTTACCCGACAACTCAGCAAAAATGAGAACAACGCTTGTTTAATAAAATGCTTTAAATAATAGTAAATCCACTTTAATTATTTACTATTAATCAAACTCACCAGAGTTGGTGGTCAAACCCTACATAGGGTCTCTTTAAGTCTGATCCAACCCAACAACACCTATCAAAAACAACAACTGGAAAATCGTCACTTAGGATAGAAAACTTTCTGCAGCCCATAAAAGCAAATGGTAATATAAGTTGAAGTAGATAAAAGGCAACAAAGCATTACCTTGAGGCCCCAGGGCAACAACTTGAAGATTGTATTTATTAACAGGTGTGTTACTTGGTAATAAGTCTTTGAGTGGTGAGCTAACTGTTAAAACCACATCGTCACCAGCCAGAACATCACTGATTATTCTGGGATAAGAAGTAGAAAGATCGGTGAGTTCGAGCCCCACCCCATTTTCAGTGATTTCCACCACTCTGGCTTGGAGTTTTATCCCTGTGACGCACATCTGAAATCTTGCTGTGGCTTCTTTCGTCCAATATTGTTTCTTAGGCTGTATATCTGGAAAGCAAAAACAGCATTAAAAAAAGAATTCTGTGTACAAGCTACATTTTTGCTTCAGTGGCACCCAGGACTAAATCCTTGCAAGAACTAGGTTCAGATTAGTAACTTCTTTCAATGTTCAATTGACTATCTACATCTTCCATGCCTGAGCTATAGATACCATATTTGCAAATATACCACTAGGGGTTTAGAAGGGCTCAGGATCTTTCTTTACTTTCCCCACTAACATATTTTTGCTGGAAGTTCTCTCCAACAGGCAAAAAACAAGGGCATTTTCTCTGTTAGAATATACCACTGTAGATTATGCTAATCTCAGAATTATCAAGTAAGTTGTCAGCTCTTACATTTTGGTAACAGTTTTTGAATAATACTTTCAAACTGTCATTTTAATTTACTTAACCAAAGCCTTTTTCTCCTTAGATACTTAAGACTTACACCCTTATTTATATACCATTTGTTGTGGTTGTTATGTGCCGTGGAGTCGGTTCTGACTCATAGAGACCCTGTACAGGGTTTCCGATGCTGTAAGTCTTTACGGGAGCAGAAAGCCTCATCTTTCTCCCGCAGAGCAGCTGGTAGTTTCGAACTGCTGACCTTGTGGTTCACAGCCCGATTCGTAACCACTACGCTACCAGAGCTCCTGTATTTACATACCGTCAAATCGGTTCTGACCCATAGCAACCCTGCATAAGGTTTTCAAGGAGCAACTGGTGAGCTTGAACTGCCGATCTTGCAGTATAAACAGCTTTTGCAGCAGTCTGGTGCATTAATCCACAGCGCCACTCCAAGACTCTGTAGTCTTTCCCAAAACCAACACAATGTCTTTTATCTTTGTGTTCTCGAGTATAGAAATATATTCAGATCTGTTTATAATTGTTCAATATTTAGTAGTCCATATTGGAACAATAATGATTATTATTTA